AAGATTTTAAAAAAAAAAAAAACTCAAAAGTTGGGGGCGCTTGCCCCCCAGGGCCCCCCATAGGCCCGCCGTGTATGAGGAAAATTCCCTTCTCCATCACATATACTTTTCGTTGCATTCAAATTACTCGCCTCAACCGTGTCCCCATGGATACACATACAAGCACGTGTAACACGAGTTGGGTAGCATGAACTATGAAGCCATTCTACAAAATCAGTCGTGTCCAGTAATAAAGGCATAATTATTTCTACAAATCTCACGGTGGACGAACCATACTTACACGGTAGAATGCTTGGGTGCACGAACAGGCCAGACAACTTTCTCTCCTTAATTCGTTCAATGTCAGTGCTTAACTTCTTATTTCTTCTCCTTTCTTGTGTACAAGTACTTTCGTGTAACAAACTTGATCGTGATTCTCTTTTGTCATTCCATAAACACATTTCATCCCCTCCATCAGACATTCCTCTCAACTGGTCATCCACCAACTGCTGTATATGGGAAGGTATCACCTGCAATAGCAAGTCTCGGGTCACCCATTTATCGTTATCGGGTAAGGGATTTTCTGGGACTATCACTCCATTTCTTGGGAACCTTACATCCCTTTCTTACCTTAATCTGTCACATAACCAATTTTCTGGTCCTCTCCCTTTTGCACTTTTTCATACCTTGAGTAATTTGGAATCACTTGATTTGAGTTATAATCTTCTGTATGCGTCACAAAACCACGGCTTGCCTGTTTCAATCCAAACCGTAGATCTATCAAGCAATCGGTTTAATGGGTCGATTAATTCTTCATTTTTCCATGGTGCATCGAGTTTGATTAGTTTCAATGTCAGCAACAACAGTTTTAGTGGTCCACTCCCGTCCTCTATTTGCATCACCTCCAGTTTTGTGAAGATACTGGATTTCTCCATGAACAAATTCAGTGGCAATATATCACAAGGCATTGGAAGATGTTCTAAGCTGGAAGTTTTCAGGGCAGGTCTGAACTCTCTTTCAGGATGGCTTCCATATGATATTTACAGTGTGAAAACACTCAGTGAAATCTCTTTACCTGAAAACTACTTCTCAGGACCTGTCAACAATAGCATTGTTCTACTCTCAAATCTTAGCATTATAGATCTCCATGGGAATGAATTGACAGGTGAGGTTCCTACAGATATTGGATTGCTTTCAAATTTGAAACAACTGATACTTCACACCAACAGCCTAAATGGTTCTGTGCCTCCATCATTGATGAATTGCACCAGCCTGAAAACGCTGCTTCTGCGAAATAATCATCTAGGAGGAAAAATTTCAAGTCTTGATTTCTCCAAGCTCAAGGAATTGGAAACAATTGATTTTGGGAACAATAGCTTTGTGGGTAATATTCCAGTTCGCCTATGCTTTTGTAAATCCCTGAGTGCAGTCCGACTTGCATATAACCATTTGGAGGGTGAAATTCCATCTTGCGTAGCTGTGCTAAAATCTTTATCCCATCTCTCACTTGCCAACAATAATCTTTCTGATGTTGTCGGAGCTTTAAAGATTTTGGCGAACTGTCACAATCTTTCAGTTCTATTCCTGACAAATTGTTTCAGAGATGAACCGGTGCGCGATAATTACAGCTTATTGCATTTAACTGGGTTTCAAAATCTCCAAATTCTGAGTCTGAGTGGATGCCAACTCAAATGTGAAGTGCCTAGTTGGATTGGAAAATTAAAGAAACTTAGAGGGTTGGACCTGTCATACAATCAAATGACGGGCACGATTCCAAAATGGTTGGGGAGTATGCCGCGCCTGTTCGCCCTAGACCTCACCGGAAACCACCTTTCGGGCGAGCTCCCTCCAGAAATTGGCAGCCTAAAAGCTCTTATTGCAGCCAATGCAGACTCAAACTTGTATTATTTGGCTTTGCCTTTCTTATACGGCATCCTCGAGTACGATCGACTATTCTACTTGCCACGGGGAATCAAAGTTGGGAATAACATTCTAAGTGGGAATATTCCGGCCGAGTTAGGCCAACTTACACGTCTTCGTGTGCTGGATCTCAGCGATAACAACTTCAGTGGATGCATTCCAAGTGAATTGTCCAATCTAGTCAATTTAGAGAAAATGAACCTGTCAGCGAACAATCTATCATGCGAGATCCCAGAATCACTAACAAGACTCAATTTCATGTCTTTCTTCAGCGTTAAAAACAACGATTTACAAGGAGAAATTCCAAAAGGAGGTCAGTTTGATACATTTCCAAACACTTCATTTGAAGGGAATCCTAAACTACTACGACGAAGTTTTGTCGGTAGTCGAGTTGATATATTGCTGCTGGTAACTGCTGCGAAAGAGCCTGAAACTTTGTGGCACTCTCTGCCATTCTGGTTGGGATATTTAGTAGGATTTTTTTTGGTCGGTGTCAGTTTTTTGTTCAATGGTTCATGAAAATTTGTAGAACAAGGCTGGTGTACGCTGAGTTTGACACCATCTATCATTTCCCAAAATTGTTATATGCTAATAAATTCGTCTGCTTTCTAAAAATAGGGTCTTTGTAATATTGAGAAGGGTAATTAGGACAGAATGTTTTTACCTTTAAATATTATTGTAGAAAACGTATCTATCATTTTTTTTTTTGACATTTTCACCTTCATTTTAACCTTTCATTGCCGAAATCATTTTTTCATCTATTTTTTCAATTAAAAACTGTGAAATGACGAATACGCCATTCTATTTAAATAAAACAAAAAGGAAAGAATAAAAAATAAAGAACTAACTAGAATAATAGTCCCAAAATTTCAAAGATTACAAATGAGCCCCAAATGTATAATTAAAAATCCAACCTGAAAAAACACCAAAAACTCCGGCCAACCATCACCGAAACCACCAAAACTCCATACCATTGGATAGCCCTCACTCCCCTCTACACACACCGCCTAGCCACCAGTCGTAATGTCCCAAGATTTGGCCGGAATCAATGGCCAAAATCAACAATTTGTCAACACAAAAATCGACTACATCATTTTCTCCGGCGAGACATATGCCCTTTCTATCATGCCGGTCGACTATTCTCACCAAGACACACCTATTCATGGTCTTGTAACATCAACAAATCCACACGATCAAAATTTATAGCCTCATTTTTCGAATCAAGCGAAAATGCATCACGATTTATGGCGCTGATAGTGGGACGCATGATCACGGATCGCCCATTCTGGTATCATCTGATCACAACGCATCAATTCCATCTATGGGTCTTCAACAATTCGGTCTCCATATGATAGCGAACATGGATAGTAAGTGTGTGCGATGAACATTTTGGCCATTGATTCCGACCAAATCTTGGGACATTACGGCTGATGACTGGGTGATATGTGTAGATGGGAGTGATGGCTATCCGATATAGAGTTCTGGTGGTTTGAGTGGTAGTTGCCCGGAGTTTTCGGGATTCAAAGGTGGTTGTTGCCCTGAGTTTTTGGTGTTTTTTTAGGTTGGATTTTTCATTATACATTTGGGACCCATTTGTAATTTTTTAAAATTCTGGGACTATGATTTTAATTAGTTCTTTTTTGTTTGTTTTATTTAAATAGAAGGGCTATATTCTTCAATTCACAGCTTTTAATTGAAAAAAACAGATGAAAATGATGATTTTCGCAATGAAATGTCGAAATAAGGGTGAAAATGCTAAATAATTAAAGATATGAACATTTTCCACAATAACATTGAAAGTTGAAAACGTTTTGTGCTAATTACCCTATTGAGAACTAGTACAAGTAGACACGATCATGTTAATTGAAGACTGCTTAAAGAACGTTTTGAAGTTTAAGATACATACCTGACGTGAATTGTACATTAAAGAAAAATAATAAGTGACAAACATCTTAACTTATCCATTCTGAAATAATATGACAACGACCTTTGTTCTTCCTTAGCGGAGCAAGGCAATCGATACTATTCCGGTGAACAAATGAGCACCTGCAAAAAGAGGTTGTGGCTTTCTTCCCCATTACACTTCCGGTGTGAGAATTAGTAGAGGAATTTAGAATATAATGACTTAAAAAAGAGAGGAGACCAGAAGAATGTATTGTGTAAAAAGAAGATCCCGTTACCTAACACGCCTTGAGAGTATTTATAGGCATGGATTTTGCCACATATACATAAAAATTTACATAGGAGATTGCATAATGCCACTCCACCATTTGCTAGTTTAAAGCACGGTCAAATTTTTCATCCAATCCTTTTCCTCCACGTCATTTTATATAATTCTTTATGTACCATTTTCATGTACAAGTAGCACACTCCTTCTAGGCATTCAGCATCATGTAACCGCTAAGCAGTTTTTGTCCACGTGTTCGTAGAAACTGTTGACTTACCAAACGATTTTTACCTACATACTTAGTAGTTAGCCTCCATCAACTTAGTTGTTGAAAGTGATCCGTGACAAATGTCAAGCAATTTTCAATCAATTAAAATGATGTTAAGACAGTTGAAAGTTATAATGATCGATCTATCATAGTGCTAATCAACAACTAGCATATCTGTAGATCGACTATGTTGTGTTAATAATACCTAGAATCTCTGATATCAATTGATGGGAATTCAATGATCACGTATTACTCGATACCACTCGATATGAAACCAACTATCGAATTGAGATGTTGAAATTATATGTCACAATATGAGATATTTGATTACAAGCAAAAGAGTGAAAGAAGATAAAAAAAATATGACAGCGGAATTAGGAGATTTTGTTGCACACAAATAATGAAGATGGAGAAATATTACAATGATCCTAAATGCTAGTAATCACCTTTCTCACCCCATTCTCACACCAAATTGTAGAGAAGAGCCAAGTATATATAGGCAACTATGTAGGGCGGCGTCCAAATCCTAATAGATGAGTTGTAATTGAAGTAAAATGTCAAAAAACATGTTAAAACGTGAAAAAGGTCCGAGCCGGATAACCCTGTCGCTCTAGCGATAAACTAGCTACAAACTAGCGACAAGCGAGCGACCAAGTTTGGGGAGAAAACCTGCAAGTGTTGCTCAAGCGGCCAGCTAGCTGTAGGCTAGTGAAAATGCAGCGACTTTTCTTTTCGGTGCACAATTTCAATATCTTCAAGTCCAATACAAATTTCAACTCCTAATAGGG